ACAAACCATAACAAGGACACGTAATCGTTGCGTAGGTGCCTGTAGCTGCAAATAGTCAGCAAGTACATGAGGACCAATATCGCCGATAACAACCATAAATGATACAACTGAGGACATCAAATACAAAATCATTAAAAGCTGAAAAAAAATACATTATTAGCATTACTGTTACAACACTTAATTTAATATCAACCACTATTCTTAATTCATTAAAATCATGACCATTGTCGTACTGATGAAATCCAGTTGTGGTGTTGAACAGGAACTCATACGACTTAACGTACCGAGCTCTTGTTAATTTAATTAATTTTGTAATATGTTATCCAAACATATCTTCCTGCAAATGATACTTAGACCTGATCTCTTACCTTCTAATCTATTATTTCCTTTGCCAAGTATGTATGGGCCTCGCGAAGGACCACGTGAAAGTTTTGGTGGGAAAATGGTTAGCTCTGGGACCAGAAAGGCTGCAAAGCTGAAATTTTAAGAGGATGTTCCTCGTCCGTAGAGGCTAAATTCGAAGACAGAGTTCACGGAGTGGATTGAGTAGTGTAAAGGAGAATTTCAATTAATTAAAGAATCAAACATTTTGAAAGACAATTTTAGAACTACAAAAGTAACCTCAACTAAACGCCTTCCTCCTGTACCAAATGCATGAAGCGCCAACGATTCGAGACTTCTTCGCCTGTAAAACCATAAAATTGAAGATACTATAGATGGTCACCAAACCAACTAGTGGATCAACATTAATACTTCTGTTAAATTAATTAAATGCTACAGTCTCAAAGTTGCTAGAATCAAATAAAACAAATTCAGAAACGTCTCTAAAATTTTTAAAAAAAAAATTTGCACCCAAAATAAAGGAAAACAAAGGTACCAACTTAAACAAGAGTAGTAAAAAATAAGTAAGGAAATGTGAAATTCCGTGACAAGTACGGTTACATGCAAAAAAAAAAAAAAACTCTTCGAAAACGGACAGGGGAGAAAAATTTGTAAAAAAATCGCATTTTTTTAAAGAAAAAAAAAATCACTTTAAAAAAAAATGATTGTGTTTTAACATACCGTGTCATAACTGCGCCTTGATACAATAAATGACACGTAACTTTGGTGAGTAATGAACATAGTCCAATCAAAATAGTACCAAGAAGAATACCACACTGGAAAAAAAGAAACCTTTTGCTGCAGTAACAAAAAAACCTCATTAAAGAAACCCTCCCCGCCCACACCCCCCAAAAAAAACCACAAAAAAACCTCAAAAAAAAACCTAAAAAAAAGAAACCTTTTGCTACCTCATCGTAATTTGGGGTGGCAGCGTTTGAAAAACTATGGTATGCTCAATACGCATTTTCTTTCCCGACAATCGGAAGATGACGCGTATTAGTGAGTGGTATTCACAAGAAAGTAAATAACCTCTGCCAATGACCCTTGAAGAAGTGGCATGCATTCATCGAACAGGCAGTTGCTGCTACACCAAAAAATTAGATTACAAGTAACATGCCATCAGAGTTCGTGTAATGGCACCTGATCCAAGTAAACACCCAGGGCGGCTCGTGTAAGCTCGAGTAACGCACACTTCCCATCGGTGCCCACCCACATTTATACAAGTAATGAACGTTTCTGGGTTCAGTACTTGAGCATTTGCTGTGTGTTACTTGTATTGATGGGCCGTCGTCATAACCAGTCCAAGCAAAGCCCGGAAATATTTCAGGTAATATAGCCCGACCGCTCATGTGATGAACGCGTAGAGTGGGCGGGGCTAAAGCCTCTTATCGCGCGATAAGAATCGCCCCATCGTACGATGGGACAGTTATTTCATTGCATCCTCTCAGCTGCTGATGGACGGTAGCAGAGTGCGACTTCTGGGACGAGAGGTGAGGGACCTGTACAAGTGATGGAGAGCGGCCTGTATAAGTAACGAGCCTCTCTGAAATGTGTGCATGGGGCAATCTATCATGCACAGGGCATATTACCTGTAATCTGATGTTTTGGTATGAATGGAGGTATGCAGTCCCGGATTAAACGGCATGGCACAGCCTTGCCAGGCATATGGGAGCATCCCAGTAATAACAGTTACCTATACTTATAGCCCGAACGATTTCGACATTTTTGTTGTTCCAAGTAACGAAATAAAAATTACAAAACTCACCTGTTGTAAGCAGTAAGGCATAGCAAGGATACTGACGCCAACGATGCAATTCGTAAGGTTAAAAACGTGTGGCCATTGGTTGAAGCCGGACAGAGCTCGCCAATCTTTCACATCATGATCATCCTCGTCATCG